AACCATGTGTTTGTACCAAACAACCAATGTTGATAAATAGCTTGTTTTGTCAACCTCAGAAATTTAATTGTTCAGCAGCAATGTAATTAAACAAATAAATGCCAAAACAATTTCAAAAAACAAGCTACAGTGTTGCCACTTGTTTGGCATATTTAAATAAAGTTGATAAACTAATCGCGGACAATTCTATGCTGATGTCACACGAACAGCTGATTCTGTCAAATTCGCCAAAACCAAAGTAGCGGTACTGCTGAATGTGCCACCTCTGTCTCTCTACATCGTGGTGCAACTCCACAACAAGCTTTCAGGCATTCCGCGCTTTTCAGGCATTCAGTAATAGCTGAATTGTGTAGCTGAAAGCCTGAAAAGCTTGTTGTGATCGTGCCTCTGGATTGTTAAATGAACGCTCAAGATGACCAAATTGCAGTACAATTAACTTTATCGTACAACAAACACTTTACAATACTCGCTAAGGCTTTCTGATCATTGGTCGTGCAATCCTCGTTGCTCAATCATGATTCAACGATTACATGACGATAGCACTTTCGCACACTCGGTCGTGATATTTCAATTCATTTTAATTCTAGAATCCCAACCGTTTAGATATGGAAAAACCAAAAATGCAGATCGATAGTACTTTTACCGCTGATTTCAACATACCAATATTAAAGAAGAATAGGAGCTTAAAATAAAATGTTTTGATATTTGAAAATATTAATATTTTATGATCTACATAACTGATTTAAAAGAGTAATAATGTGAAATTAAAGATATTTATTTTATCTTTGGGCTCATGTACAACATTTTTATGCTTTTTTATATTTTTAAGCCAAACAAATTTTGAAATTTACTACATAATATAACATTTTTGGAAAAGTTTATAATTACTGCTAAAGGAATTTACATTATTTCGAAAGTACAAGTTTTTATCTTTAATTTGATATACTTCAGTATGATATGCTTTTGAATTTTAAGAATGTAGTGATGATAAAATATATATATTTTTCAAAATGGCGTTTACTTAAAATTTAGTTTTAAAAGTGTTTATAGTATACGTATACGTCATGCTAAAGGTATTTAAATTAGATATCTTTAAATTAGCATCAGTACCTTTCTAATCGGTTAAGTTGCTCCTGAGATATTATAAATATAATAAAGAGAGAAGTTGAAATTCAACGCCTTATACAAGGTGGGCCAAATAAGACCTACCATAGTCTGCCTAGTTTGCTATAGTTTGCATAGCAGTCGTTGCCGTTCGCCGCAGAAAGTTGTTAATCATTGTTCTGTAAGAAGCCCCAGAAATCAATTCTGGCGTTTCATTCTCATTCTCGAAGAAATATGGGCCGATTACTTTTTCGGTCATAACACCGCACCAAATAGTGCATCTGGATGGGTGTAACTGGTACTGGCGTGTTGCCCTTGGATTTTCAGAGCCCCACAATCTACAGATTTGCTTTGAAATGCGCTTCATCCGACATCAAAAAATTACCCAAAAAATCAATTTGTGTGGCTAATTGTGTAAAACGAACGACGTATTGTAGTCGTTGTTGGTGCCCTTGATGTAAGTATTCATTATGATTTTCCAAGAAATTAACTATAACATATAGAATAAAAATAACAATAATATTAAAAAATAAAGAAGTTATACGTTTTTAACGTTGGTAGATCTTATTTGGCCCACCCTGTATCTTCTTCATTTTTTTTGCACCAATAATTTTGGAATGGTTGAAATCAGCGTAAAAAGTACTATAGATCTGCACTTTTGGCCTTATTTAGCTAAACAGAGTTTTTAATTTTATACAATGTCGTCATATTTAATAGGTACAACTCTCTCTTTTATTTAATTTTATTGGCGCATATTCATAGTCATATTTAGTACTCAACTAAGTCGAAACTATTTTAACAGGTCTATTCTGCGCTGGTAATAAAAAGTTTGTAACCGGTAAATAAAGTTCCTGTCAATTTTTAAACCCTTTTCGCATTCTGTGTATCCTTGTAACCGGTATATTTTGTTACCATCTCATAAGCTGGTAACAAAGTGTTGCCCCGTGAATATGCAATGCAAGAATTTGCACAATTCTTCATAGCTGAATTGTTGAATATTTTAACTGCATTACCAACGTTCCTAGAATCGCGGTGACAAGAACTGGTAACATTTTTTGGTAATAAAATTTTCCGGTTACAAATCTTCGGTAACGTGCAGAATAGACCTGTAAGTCAGAACTAAAGCTATTCATAGTCGCCTTATACTATGTCTCCATTGAGAGATTTATCCATTAAGATTTAATAAATCCAGTTGCTAAATCACAGCCGTCTCCATTACCATTACGAGATATGTTTGACGTTCACATTTTTAAATATTTGACGTTTGCTTATGTATGATTTTACAAATACAGTTGCGGACATTGATATACAGACAGATAAAAGGAAGGTACCAAGCGGAATTTCATTATATGAATTCTGAATATTATTGGCTTCTTATTTGTGGTAAATATGTATGTATAATATATAGTTTGGAAAGTGTAAAGAATGGTACCATATTCCGAATCATTTTCCCGAATTCAAGAAAAATTATCAAAACGGTAAAAAACATTTGCGGAAAGAAAAATTTTTGTAGAACTCTCTTATTCATAGGAGGGAACCGAAAATCCAATCGTGGGCCTTTGGCATATCATGAATACGAGTTCTAGAGGATGTTCGGTGCAATGTTATCGAAGCAGAACCATTACCGAAATTTATAAATTTTTTGTCGCAGCGCGTAAATGACTTATAGAAAGCGGAGAAGACTCTGCATGCTATTACTATAAAACATTTCTTCTAAATTTTTAGTTTTTAAAATAATATTTTCTTAATTTATTACAACCAAAGTTATGTAAATATTTATTACTAATTTTCCTCCCAAACTAACAAAAATATATAAAAATCCCTAAAAATACGAAAATTCATGTTTTTATGATAGGCTAGATTTCAATGTCCTCAACTGTATATTGAAAACACAAATGTCATTTGACTTATGGCATGTGAATTTGTGGTTGCCACATCCAACAAATTGTACTTATTGATCAATATTATTGAAGATTTGACGAAGATTTAACTTAAATCTACTGCCTTTCGAGATTTAATTTTATATGATAAATCTTAAAAGATTTAACGTCAAATCTCGTCAGAGGGCTAAATCTTCATTAAATCTCATAATGGAGACATAGTATTAGTTTCGACTTTTCTGGCTAAGTACCAACTTAAAATTTAGTTTCGGCTGCAGCTGCAACTAAGTCGTAACTAGGAAGAATTATTTTATCAAATTAAGGGAAAACAGACGAAATATGTAAAAATTAAGTTGGTAGAGGGTGATTTTGATAATATTGAATAATCTCCAATTAAAATTTACAAAGATCGATCCATTTTAATCGGAAGATGAAATTAAATGCGTATTACAATTTGAATAAAGCTACATCACAATTTTATAATTGGAATAATTTAGATAAATTCTCAAATAATAAGTCAGTTTCACGCTAGTTCTTTTAAAGTAAATTTGTGCATAACATTTAGATATCTACTATTTGTATGTTTCACAGCATGCTTTCGATAAACATCGACTTCACAACACTGCGGTTGTTCTGGCTATTTCACACAATTAACAAGAAAATGATATCTTATTCTTTTGCATAATCATGCAATGAAAATAAAAATTACATAAACGGATGATCAAACTTGACATTATTTAATTAAAATGTAATTTTTCCAAAATATCGTAAAGAAAAATCGATACATTTTCACACTCGTTTTGCTATATCGTAAACTAAGTCGGAACTACTTAGTAGAAGTCTGAAATGCGACTATGAATAGAAGTAAATTTTAAGTTGGTACTTAAACTTAAGTTGCAACTTTGTTAGTTTCGACTTAGTTGCTGGACTATGAATACGCGCCATTGTTTTCTTGAAGGCGACATGTTGATAATGAAATTGCTTCTCAAATTGAATGCAGCCTACGTAATGGCTTTCAATTTTGATGATTTTTGACAAGTAATGTGTGTGAGGAAATTGAAAGGCAAAACTGCTTATGTGTCGTCAGCGTTAGTAAATTGCAAACCATGAACAAACAAACAACGATGGCAAACATCGAAAATTGAACCGATATTATCGATGTTTCAAAAACATCGATGCATCGTTTGCATCCATAGTTCCTCCTAGATCACTAGGCCCAAGAACGATAGAGTACAAGATTGCGCATTCCCGCAGAATGACATTTGTGGCAACGGGTAAACAAAGAATATGGCGAAGAACAATGAGTTGACAGTTGTGAATTTGCAGTGAGAAAACGTGTTTTCTTCACGATTCACCAATTTCTCAAGCCATCTTTGAATATAGCAAATTAAGCACTACGTTAACAAAAAATATACAACCACTCTTGAAATGTGTTCAAAAGAATAGGTCTTATTAATTAACTATTTAGAATTTTTGTGTTTGTATTGCAGGTGCCGAAAAAGTGATAATATCTTGTCGCAGCGCATGTTTTCCTGCAGAAAGTGGTCGATGCTTGCTTACCTCCGATTTTAATTTGTAATTTGTGGTATTTCAACGTTTTCAACTTAACATGTCGTGTTTAAAAGTGGTCCGTAAAGTGCTTCATGCATATTACGCTGGTGTCTAAATTTTATGGCTTCTCCTGCCGGCAGAACTCTACCCACTTTCTGGCCAAGGCGTCGTCGCGGGGAAACAAAAAAAACTGCATTTGGGGGCTTTACCCCTACGGCTGCTGCAAGTCAACACACGACACGACGTTTTTATAAAGTTTTTATTACAAATAAAACGTTTTTTACTTCAGAACGCACGAATTACCTCGATTTTTCACTTGAAAGTACACAATACGTTTGCAATACGTTTGCACTTGTTTCTAAACAAAAAGTTTGTTTACGTATTGCCATAAATGTCAAAGTCGGCAAAACCAAAGTAGCGGTTTCGGGAATGCGCCACCTTCAGTTCATTTCACCATGACTAGGCCTGGGTAACGGCGCAAATTTTTTGGCGCTGATACACTAACACCAGTGCCTCTGCCGGAATCAGAACAGTGTGTTGGCACTATTGCGCCGATTGCGCCTCTTCAGGCAGCTTAACGCAGTGGTTTTCTCAGAGTCTCTTTGCCGATTCATACGACTGCAAGAATGATAGAATACAAGGTGGTGTTACTAGAACAGCTGATTGGATATTTCCACAACTTTATATAGACGCGCCTTGACTGTAATTTTGGCGGACATTTACTGGCAAATTGGCGCGTTTTCATCTTGCTTATTCCTGGACATTTTACAAGTAAGTTGATTAATGTCTTAAAATTTTTTCCAAACAAAATTATAATCGTGTCCTTATCGACAGGAGCTTATTCGTCCAAGCATCGCTGTGAGTTCCACGAGCGTTTCACTGCATTTTCATCTACTAATCACTAATTTTGCGTATTCCTGCACATTTTACAAGTAAGTTGCTAAATGTCTTAAAATTTTTTCCAAACAAAATTATAATCGTGTCCTTATCGACAGGAGCTTATTCATCCAAGCGTCGCTGTGAGTTCCTCGAGCGTTTCACTGCATTTTCATCATGCCAAATAAAAAGAGCGAAATATGGCTGCACTTCTCCGATGAGAAAGAAAAAAAGTAAAGTGTAAGCTATGTGGTCAGCAGATATCCGTGGCAAACAAATCAACGTGCAGCCTGATTCGCCATATGAATAGGCGGCATCCCTTCCAAAAAATTGCTAGGCAGGAGCATTTGGAAACAGAAGTTGACACGAAGGCAGCAGCAACGCAGGTAGAAGCACCACAGAGAGCAGCAACGCAAGTAGAATCACAACAAGCAGCAACACAGCGAAATACACCGCGAGCATCATACGCACCGCAAGGATCGGTATCACAGTACCTACACAAACCACTTCCAGTCAAAAAGCAGCAACAAATCGATGACCAGGTAATTAAAATGATTGTCCGCGAGTACCATCCATTTAGCATCGTCGAAGACGTGGAATTTAAATAGCTAGTATGTCTCCTAAATCCGAACTATAAACTCCCAACTAGGAAAACAGTGTCATCCTCGTTAATACCGGCCATGTATAATGTAACCATGGAGGTGGTGAAAAGGCGGTTAGAGAGGGCGTATGCTATATGTGTGACGATGGACGGTTGGACTTCCCGTGCAGGAGATAGCTTCTTTAGTGTGACTGCCCACTACATTGTGGAAGAGGATAAAAAAACATTCCTTGCGTCGGATTTGTTAGCTTGCTCCTCATATTTAGATAGGCACACAAGTGAAAATATTACAAAAAAAATTTACGAAATTTTTTGCGAATGGGGAGTTAGTAACAAGATAATTGTTATAGTTAGTGATAATGCAGCTAATATGAAAGCAGCAGTTCGTGGGGGAGGTTGGCGGCATTGGGTAAAATGGCAATGTGGTTTAAAAGAAATAGAATCAGTTTTGCATAAAATAAAAGTAATTGTTAGGTTTTTTTTTCAAAAAGCACTTACGCTTCTTCAAAACTTAAAGCAACATTGCAGGCTATGCAGCAACCAGTTTTGAAACTTATTAATGACGTACCTACTCGCTGGAACTCAACATATGAAATGTTGAAACGCGTATTAGTTTTAAAAGATGCAGTGATTTCCACTTTAGCTTTAGTTAAGTCGTCGATGCTGGCCAGAGATGACGAATTACAAACAATTAATTTTTTAAGTAACGAAGAGTGGTTGGTAGCAGAGCAATCAATGAAAGTTTTAGAAATTTTTTAAGTTGTTACGACATTAATTTGTGTCGAAAAGCACATAAGTGCATCTTGCGTAATCCTGTACATTAAGCAATTAAGCAAACATTTAAAAACCTCCAATACCTCGCAACTAAGCCCCGATGTAAACAATTTGGTTGCAAAACTGTTAAACGAACTTAACAATAGGTTTAAAGACTTATGGCCTTATTCATAAAAAATAAAGTAGGTTTAAAGAGCTTTATAAATTGACGTTTTCATACATTTTTCAATTTATAAACCTTTTTTAAAGCTACTTTATTTTTTATGAATAAGGCTATTAGAATTTAACGAACTAATAGCGCAAGCCACAATTCTGGATCCAAGATTTAAAAAATTTGGATTCATAACTGAAACAGCATATAATCCCAATGTCGACAAATTATATTTAAGAGTTGCTAATATGGTTGTTCAAAACACCGATGCTTGTGACGAAAATCACAATGACTGCAGTTCAATTGTAGAAAGATTGGATAGCGACCGGTTTGATCTCATTTGGAAAGACTTTGACGCTGAAGTCCAGAAATACGTAAGGCCAGCAAATCAAACAGCAAATGCTATTATTGGGGTGGACAAATATTTAGCTGAACCTGTTCTTCCGCGAAAATACCATTCTGGAAAGCCGAATGATCCACTGGTGTGGTGGCATCAACGGAAAAACATTTATCCTCGGTTGTTGCAACTTGCTAAAAAACGTTTATGTATTTCTTCTACATCTGTTCCTTGTGAGCGCATATTTTCGCACGCTGGCCAGCTTGTAAGCGAAAAGCGGGAGAGTCTTAAAGCCAGTAAGGTATCTCAAATCGTCTTCTTAAATTACAATTTAGGCAACAATGATTTCTAATGTTAAACACTATGTTTTTAAAACATAAAACGAATGTGCCTAATGTACTGAAAACGCAAAACGAATGTACCTAATGAATTAGTAATTCATATATTTACCTACAATATAATTTTAAATATTTGTAATGTTAAACACTATGTTTTTAAAACATAAAACGAATGTGCCTAATGTACTGAAAACGCAAAACGAATGTACCTAATGAATTAGCAATTCATATATTTACCTACAATATAATTTTAAATATTTGTAATGTTAAACACTATGTTTTTAAAACATAAAACGAATGTGCCTAATGTACTGAAAACGCAAAACGAATGTACCTAATGAATTAGCAATTCATATATTTACCTACAATATAATTTTAAATATTTGTAATGTTAAACACTATGTTTTTAAAACATAAAACGAATGTGCCTAATGTACTGAAAACGCAAAACGAATGTACCTAATGAATTAGCAATTCATATATTTACCTACAATATAATTTTAAATATTTGTAATGTTAAACACTATGTTTTTAAAACATAAAACGAATGTGCCTAATGTACTGAAAACGCAAAACGAATGTACCTAATGAATTAGCAATTCATATATTTACCTACAATATAATTTTAAATATTTGTAATGTTAAACACTATGTTTTTAAAACATAAAACGAATGTGCCTAATGTACTGAAAACGCAAAACGAATGTACCTAATGAATTAGCAATTCATATATTTACCTACAATATAATTTTAAATATTTGTAATGTTAAACACTATGTTTTTAAAACATAAAACGAATGTGCCTAATGTACTGAAAACGCAAAACGAATGTACCTAATGAATTAGCAATTCATATATTTACCTACAATATAATTTTAAATATTTGTAATGTTAAACACTATGTTTTTAAAACATAAAACGAATGTGCCTAATGTACTGAAAACGCAAAACGAATGTACCTAATGAATTAGCAATTCATATATTTACCTACAATATAATTTTAAATATTTGTAATGTTAAACACTATGTTTTTAAAACATAAAACGAATGTGCCTAATGTACTGAAAACGCAAAACGAATGTACCTAATGAATTAGCAATTCATATATTTACCTACAATATAATTTTAAATATTTGTAATGTTAAACACTATGTTTTTAAAACATAAAACGAATGTGCCTAATGTACTGAAAACGCAAAACGAATGTACCTAATGAATTAGCAATTCATATATTTACCTACAATATAATTTTAAATATTTGTAATGTTAAACACTGGCTGCGTTTCTTTATACATTCCGGATAATCCCATTTCACAGCCGGAATAAACAGAATGCTTTTGAAATATACGTTAACATATCATCAGGAACGTTCTAAAGAATAAGTAAACAAAAAAGTTTATTCCAAACGTTCAGAATGAATAAAGAAATTCAGACACTATGTTTTTAAAACATAAAACGAATGTGCCTAATGTACTGAAAACGCAAAACGAATGTACCTAATGAATTAGCAATTCATATATTTACCTACAATATAATTTTAAATATTTGTAATGTTAAACACTATGTTTTTAAAACATAAAACGAATGTGCCTAATGTACTGAAAACATAAAACGCATGTAGGTACCTAATGTATTGAAAACGTAAAATAGCAGCACTCAAAGGAAAATATAATAAATTAATTACCAGTTGCATTTTTATACAGCATATGTTTTATTTATTTATTGTTCTTTCTTTTTTATTTATTATTTATTCTAACAATTGTTTTAATTTTCATATAAAGTGTGCTTTACGGTTTTAATTTACAATTCATTGCCACTTTCATTTTAACAAATAGCACACGACATCAACACATTTATTTTTTATTAGGGCAATTCATCTCAACGCGTGAACGCCTCGTACACTTACTTAATTTTGTATGGAAAGCCGACACAGTTACGAGGCAATTACCCGTTTAGATAAATACCCTGAGTGTAATTTTGTATCTACATACATACATACATACATATGTATATATGGATAACATATCGCTCACCAGACCTGTGTAATGATTGAATCAATTGAGTGTGCATTCTCATTTTTTTCGTTTCAAAAATGTGATTGTTTGATTTAAAAAATTTAACAACCACTCTTGAGATTGGTTACAAATTGTAAACACAAAATATGTAGTGTGTTATGGAATGGTTGACACCCATTCACATAGAGAATGTGAATGCAAAAAAAGAACTCAATCATGTATGATTGGACGTTTATGGGAATGCAATCTGTCAATATCATTCAGTACTAATACTATTTGTTGTATCAGGGTTGAAATTTTTNAATAATAGTTAACACAAAAAAGGGAACAAATATTCCTAAAAATTATAAAGCAAAACAAAAACAATTTTTTCCAATTTGTTTTTGTTTTTCCTGTTAAATTATGGAAACGATTTATTCACATGGAGTTGGAGATAGGGCTGAATAATATTTTGTTCTAATGAGATACTGGTAATCGATACAGCTATGAAATTTTTGCACAACATAGAAGTAGAAGTAGCGGGAATACATATTTAGCTCAATATTTGTATTTTTTGGATTAAGACACTATTAAAGTAAATGAACTATAAGGGTTTTAATAAAAATTCCAACTGGAATGCTCACTGCTTTAAAATTTCCTCGCTTCTAAATGTACTGACGATTTGGTGTGCGAATCACAAATGTATTTGTTTTATAGCTATTTTATATAAAATAAAATACGTGGGAAAGTTGCAACATGGTGGACCCACGTCTCTTAGGCCCGTTACTATCATGAAATCGAACATATACCTGTATATTAAAAAAACGCCATTTATTATATAAATTTGCTAAATATTATGCTATTTAACTTATTTACGCCTTGGNCGTCTCTTAGGCCCGTTACTATTATGAAATCGAAAATATACCTGTATATTAAAAAAACGCCATTTATTATATAAATTTGCTAAATATTATGCTATTTAACTTATTTACTCCTTGGCATGTGCATAAAATATAAAAATTTATAGGTTAAAACCTGAATATGCTCCCAACTCTGAATGCTAGATTCATCTTCAATCATTTGCTTCGAAATTTCCAAATTATCTACCGGATACTGATAGGGCTGCAATGGCTCGCTAAAATCTGGCCCATTGGCGGTATCACTTTAAACGAGTACTGATCGTAAAGCCATTGTAGTGTGTCATTGATTAGATGACGTGAGTCCAAACCATAAAACGTCCACCTGGTTACAAGACACAATATGCCTCACGCAATACCTGCAAAAACGAACACAAATAAGAAAAATTCCACAATTTATCAGTTGTTAACTACAAAAACCCCTTCCCCCTCCTACACCACACTCACCTTGTCAATGTGCGTTCAAATGCGAATGCCAAATGCGATTTTATATGCCGTATAGCAATTGATTATCAAATTTGGCTGATGTTCTTCGGTTCACGTTTCTGAGTCCAAAGTGCGTGGTGCAATTCGTTTATATAATAAAGTGTAGATCAGATTTGGGCAGTAAACCAACTAATTGGTAACACCTCGTCTAACACTGGAGATATTGTAACATATCGTCATGCGTGCTCTTACCTTTCGCGAAAACTCGTATTTTTACATTTTCTTTCACATCGGGATATCAGTCGCTGCGATTAGTAGCTGCGTTGATCCAGCAAATAAATGATTCAAGGAAATTTCTTCCAATATTGCTGTATGAATTCGCTTAGATCAATCTGAGTCATCAGCAAATTCAAAGCAAAATAGCAAATTGACATTTCTCTTTTGTGTGTTCTTTGCTGNACATATCGTCATGCGTGCTGTTACCTTTCGCGAAAACTCGTATTTTTACATTTTCTTTCACATCGGGATATCAGTCGCTGCGATTAGTAGCTGCGTTGATCCAGCAAATAAATGATTCAAGGAAATTTCTTCCAATATTGCTGTATGAATTCGCTTAGATCAATCTGAGTCATCAGCAAATTCAAAGCAAAATAGCAAATTGACATTTCTCTTTTGTGTGTTCTTTGCTGGTTCTTTGCGACACCCAGCGTTTAGTGGTGTTGTCAGTGTTCCGGTGTTGCTGGCGCCATTGTGTTACAGAGTGGTGTAAATCGGTATCAGCGCCCGTAATTCACCTCTCGGTATCAGCGCAATGGCGCGGCGCCGCACTGTATTACCCACGCCTAATCGGTTTAGATGAATACCACTAATACCTTATTTGAATGAACTACAATAGGTGTAAACTTGTCACTTGCTTGTGAATGCATTTACATTTTTTTATTATCTCTGAATACTTAAACCTCGAAAGCAGATCATAATGAAATATTTATACCAAATTAAAAGTAATAACTCGTACTTTCTAAATAATGTAAATTTCTTAAGCATTAATCACGTAAT